TCTTTAGAAAGCAAGGAGGAGTCTTGGGTGTTAGACTCGGAGCATCATTCCATGCTACCTCACAAAAGCAACTCGTTCGAGAATTATGTTCCCGAAAATCTTGGTAAAGTTTACCTTGGTAATGAGCAATCGTGTGAGATTGTAGGTAAAGGTACGAGTAAAGATTAAGTTGAACGGTCCGTATGGGAATTGAAAAATGTCAGACATATTCCCGACCTGACGAAGAACTTAATCTTAGTGAGTCAGTTAGCCAGTAAAAGTTACACAACAATCTTCCACGGTGATGATTGGAAGATCTCAAAGGGTGCGATGACAATTGCTCGAGGCAAAAAGAGTGGTACTCTTTACAAGACTGCAGGAGCATGTCATTTGATTGCAGTTGCAACAAATGAAAATCCCAATCTATGGCACCAAAGACTTGGGCATATGAGTGAGAAAGGGATGAAGATCATGCACTCAAAAGGAAAACTACCAGGTCTTCGACCAGTAGAAATTGACATGTGTGAAGACCGCATACTTGGAAAGCGAAGAGAGTTAGCTTTCGGACAAATAGAAGAATTCCAAAGAAAGAGAGACTTGAGCTTGTCCACTCGATGTTTGGGGTCCAACGACTCGTCTCATCCGTTGGTGGGAAGCAATACTTCGTGACGTTTATCAATGATCACTCCAGAAAGGTATGGGTTTACTTTCTGAAACACAAGTCAGAAGTATTTGAAGCTTTCAAGATTTGGAAAGCTATGGTAGAAAATGAAACAAGATTGAAGATTAAGAAGCTCAGATCCGACAATGGTGGTGAATATGTAGACACCAGATTCAAGAAGTTTTGCTATGAGCACGGAATCAGAATGGAGAGGATCGTGCCTGGTACGCCTCAACACAATGGTGTAGCTGAGCGTATGAACCGAACGTTGACTGAAAGAGCCAGAAGCTTGCGTGTACAATCAGACTTACCAAAGCAATTATGGGCAGAAGCAGTTAACACAACAACTTACTTGATCAACCGAAGTCCATCGGTACCATTGGAGCACGGAATACCAGAAGAGGTATGGAGTAGAAAAGAGGTAAAACTCTCACATCTTAGAGTTTTCGGCTGTGTAGCATATGTCCATATCAGTGATCAAGGTAGAAACAAACTTGATCCAAAATCAAAGAAGTGCACTTTCATTGGTTATGGTGAAGATGAGTATGGCTACCTCATATGGGATGATGAAAACAAAAAGATGATCCGCAGCAGAGATGTAATCTTCAATGAAAGAGTGTTGTACAAGGACATGCATAAAACAGGTATTAGCAATTCAGAATCGAGTGGACCCATTTTTGCAGAAGTGGAAGATGTCCTAGAAAATCCTATAGTGAGAAGTCCTCAGTCAGAGGAATCAATTGAAGAAGGTGATGTGCAACCAGAACCTCTTACTCCAACTCCTGTATTGAGAAGGTCCTTTAGACCTCATGTGTCAAACAGGACATACATGGACTACATGTTGCTGACTGATGGAGGGGAGCCCGAAGATTATATAGAAGCTTGTCAAACCACAGATGGTAGCAAGTGGGAGTTTGCCATGAAAGAAGAGATGAAGTCTCTGATCTCCAATCAGACATGGGAACTAGTCAAGTTACCCATGGGGAATAAAGCACTTCACAACAAATGGGTGTATCGGGTGAAGGAAGACCATGATGGTTCCAAGAGATACAAAGTCCGACTAGTTGTCAAAGGATTTCAGCAGAAAGAAGGAGTTGACTACACTGAAATCTTTGCTCCAGTCGTAAAGCTCGATACTATCAAAATAGTGTTAAGTATTGTGGCTAGTGAAGAGCTCTACCTAGAGCAATTAGATGTGAAAACTGCATTTCTCCACGGAGACTTAGATGAGGAGATCTACATGCACCAACCTGAAGGATTTTCGAAGGAAAGAACGATATGGTGTGCAAATTGAAGAAGAGCTTGTACGGTCCGAAACAAGCTCCAAGACAAGTGGTACAGGAAGTTTGAAAGCTTCATGCACAAGGAAGATTTCCGAAGTGCAATGCCGATCACTGTTGTTTCTTCAAGAGGTATAAGTCCAAGTTATATCATATTGCTACTTTATGTTGATGACATGTTAGTAGCAGGTTCAAATATGAGGGATATCGAAATTTAAAGATGCGAGTTGTCAAAGGAATTTGACATGAAGGACTTAGGACCAGCAAAGAAGATTCTTAGAATGCAAATCACGAGAGATAAGCAAAAAGGAGTTTTGCAGTTATCTCAAGAGGAGTACATCAACCGTGTTTTGCAAAGATTTAACATGGACAAGGTCAAACCAGTCAATACACCTTTGGCCAGTCATTTTCGTCTATCCAAGGATCAGTCTCCTCAAACAAAGGAAGAAGAAGAAATTATGACTAAGGTTCTGTATGCTTCAGCCATTGGAAGTCTGATGTACGCAATGGTCTGTACAAGGCCAGACATTGGCCATGCAGTGGGAGTTGTGAGCAGGTTTATGGCAAATCCAGGAAAGGCTCACTGGGAAGCCGTCAAGTGGATTCTAAGATATCTACGAGGAACAACAAAAAAATGTCTGTGTTTTGGAAAAGGAAATCTAAGATTACAGGGCTACGTAGATGCAGACTTTGGAGGTGAAGTTGATCACCGAAGAAGCACCACCGGTTATGTTTTCACGGTTGGTACTACAGCTGTTAGTTGGATGTCGCGAATACAAAAAATTGTTGCTTTATCCACTACAGAGGCTGAGTATGTAGCAGTGACAGAAGCCAGTAAAGAATTGATATGGCTTCAAGGACTGTTAGCAGAGCTGGGATTCACTCAAGAAGGGAGTGTTTTGCATAGTGATAGTCTGAGTGCAATACATCTAGCAAAGAATTCAGCATTTCACTCCAGAACCAAGCACATTGATATTCGTTATCATTTCATCAGATCTCTACTTGAGGATGAGGTGTTAACATTGAAGAAGATTGTAGGAAGCAAGAACCCAGCAGATATGCTAACGAAGGTGGTGACCATTGACAAACTGAAGTTGTGTTCAACTTCAGTTGGCTTGCAAGAGTAGCGTGACACGAGAAGACTACTCGCATTAATCAAGGTGTGAGGACAGATTGAAATCAGTCCTCAAGTGGGAGATTGTTGGTGTTTGAAAAGTCAAAAAATGTGGCAAGTGGTTGGTTGGCAAGTGGTTGGATGGCAAGTGGTTGGAGACAAGAAAAATTGGAAAGCCTTAAATGCACAAGAACCATTCCTTTTGCTATAAAATGCTCTTTCACTTCACTCATTTCCATCATCCAATTCCAAAGGAACCATTACAAGAGTTAGCCGACAAGAAGCAGAAAGAAATAATCTAGCTTCGGGTGTAATTGGGTTGAGGGTTGAGTGTTTTGAGAGTGCTTTGTAAACACCTGTGTATTTTCTTTTCTCCCAAGTAAAATATATGCGATGAGTCGGAGACGTAGGCAATTTTGGCCGAACTCCGTTATCAATTGGTGTGTCCAATTATTCCGTCTTTATTTCGTTTTTATTTCACTTTCATAGATCCGACTACATGAAAAAGTTCATGTATTTTTCCTAACAATTTCAACCTTTTAAATAATCCAAATATCTTAATTTTTATTAGTTAATTTTGATTTTATAAGTTAAATGCGAATTGTAAGAGTTAAAAGAAATAAGAAAACATGAGGATCAAGAAAACCTAAATCTAAACTTTTGAATAAGAAAACCTAAATCTATAATTCAAAAAAAAAAATTCAGATCAAGAAATAAGAAAATCGATGCAAAGAATAAATGATTTTAAATTAAAATTAGAGAAATTCAAATAAAAATAATAGATCTGTTATAATAATAAATAAAATAATGAAAATTAGTAAAGAGATACATAAAATTTGAGATGAAAAAATAAATTATTTTCAATTTGTCTAATCCATATTAAGGATCAATGGGATGAACTAACTTGCTTCTAAAAAATATTTATATATTAAAATAAAAAAAATATAATTAAAAATATTATATTTTTTATTATATTATTAATATATATATTAATTTAAATTTTAAATATTAATTAATTAAACCTAAATTATTGATTATAATTGAATATTTAAAACATATAAATGCAGTGATTTTCTCAATTTATCCAATGAAAAATATTAGTTAATGATTAAAGACTAACAAAATATAAGATGTATTTTAAAAAAATTAAAAAATTATATATAAAAATATTGGTGAATACACACTCATCAAGAACATGTTAAGGTTTGCAACTTGTATTCTTTCTAATAAATCAATCTGCTATATCCTATTTTTGACGGACAGAAGTGAGACGAAACATGACGAAATAACTTGTTTTATCATATCTTTCTTTGGAATTACATAAAATTATTTAAATAGGAATAATATAATATGGGAGAACTAGGTGTTCTTACACTATGTCATTCATGAGTAAAAACACTCCTTTAATCATGTGCAAGGTGTCTTGGAAAAAAATAATTGAGACTATTCTGAGTGTGTTCCCTCTTTTGTAACTACTTAGTCGATTTTTATAACTTTTTCATCAATTATTTGAGTAGTTTATAATATATACGTATAAGAGCCACTTGAACTAAATTATTGACTAGTAAGGGATGAACAGAGCTCTACAGACATCAGTAAATGTAAGAAAAAGGGTGATGATCATTTCCCCAACTAGGAGATAAAGGGAGGTAGTGATCCCATGTCACCATTCAGCTAAAGCATACATTCATGTTTATGGAAAGGGTGTCGTCCTAAATCTCTGCTACATAGACGCAACGAGCTCATACTCCAAGCAGAACAGAACTCCCTACTAGTTGAATAAGAATATGAGCTACTTTTAAGCAAGTTAAGTATAATAAGAATATACATATTTATTTTTAAGCCAGTAAAGTATAAGAAGAACATACATGTTGGTAGCAAATATACATACAGAAAAATCACGAAATGAAAGAACAGAAGGATACTTCAGAACATGCTTCCGCTCCTAATAGATGCAAGAAAAATCTTAACAAACCTTCTTCTGCCTGTACCTTCTGACAGCAACTATGTACACCAACATATTTAAAAAGCTAAGTCCAGCTAAAAGCAAGAAGAAGTAATCGAGATGACCTTTGTTCAAGTTATCAGGAATCCAACCATGTTTTCCACCTTGTGTGGTGAAGTAAGTTACTACAGTAAGAATTAAAGAGCTCAAGTAATTTCCCAATGAAAAATTCAGAAGTGGCAGTGCAGTAGCTAGAGTCTTCATAGAATCGGGAGATTGGTCATACAAGAACTCAAGCTGCCCCACAAATGTGAATACTTCTGCTGCCCCTAAGAAGAAGTATTGAGGGATTTGCCAAAATATACTAAGGGGCACTGCAACAGGTTTATCCACAAGGTCAAACTCTTTTGCAAGGTGCAGACGCATAATCTCCACAACAGCAGCTGATAACATGCACAAGACTGAAATGAAAAGGCCAATGCCCATTCTTTGCAACTTTGAAATGCCTCTTTCCTTGCCTGTGAACTTCCTTGTGATGGGAACAATTATCCTGTCATAGAGAGGGACCCACAAAACAACACTTATGACATCAAAAGTTGTGAGGGATGCTGGGGGTAATTTGAAGTAACCAATACATGTGTCCATCATTGTTCCTTGCACCACAAACAATGTTGACATCTGGGCATAAACAGCAGAAAAAATTATCACAGTGGCCCAAATTGGAAGCATTCGGATCAAGATTTTCAATTCTTCCACCTGTGTAACTGTGCAAAGTCTCCATGGATTAGAATAGTCACCACTTCTACTCTCATAATCGGATACTATTGCTGCTCTATCAAGACACCTTCATTAAAGCCAAAAAAAAAAAAGCAGTTTAAAAATGTTATGTACACGAAAGTCCTGTTTTGGGGGAAGCATTTTTAAGCAATGAAGATGCTATAAATTATTATTTGGAAGAAAAAGAAATGTTAAAACAGCTACAGACTTTAGCACGAGATTTCTCAATACAACAAAGACTGGCTAAAAGAAAAATGTTTATACACAATCTACCAAGGAAAAGTGTCAACGACTGCTTACAATTGGGGAAAGGAGACACTGAAAACAATGAATTTGCCATTAGCAAAATGAAATGATAAACCTTGACAAAAGTTTGCAATAACACTCATCCTCAGAATAATTGACTAGGTACAGATAGTTCAACACTTCATTATTTGTCTGAAACAAACAAACAAATCTTGTTCAATCATTTCTTTTAAATTTTATGGCATACTAAACCATTTTCCTTTCTTCAACTTGAAGGTCTTGTTCAGCTCCCAGTTATGATAAAATCGAAGAATTGCATGTGCTGAATGATGGTTAAATGAAATTGAATACACATATATTCATAGTAACTAGATAAGCCAGAACAACATGATTGACCTTCACTCTATAGCTTCAAATAAACATTAAAAATAGCACAGTAATATAGATGATAACTCTTCATCCAAAGTATTCAACATGGACTCTAATTCTGCCATAATCCCCTTATTTCACCTAAATAAGTGAACAAAACCCTTAAGCAATTTATGAAAAAGAAGATAGTGAAATCATCTAAATCCAAGAAAAGGTTATAAATATATATATCCTACAATGCTCCCTGGTACTGCATCAGTAGTGTCATGCAAAAATTAATTGATGAAAGGAGAGGATTCAATAGTTTATGCAATTCATCAAGTGTTCCAAACAGATAAATCAGAATGATATTAGTTATTCTATCCTATCAGGCTTACTATTAAGTGTGCCAAACAAGGCCTAAAGGCATAGCTAATTTGTATTTTGTAAGTGACCAATTAGACCTATCATTTACAACGTAACAATACAGCAGGGATCAGCTCATGAACATTTTCTCCATAAACACCTGATTCCAAATTTGATATTAGACTAGTTACATTTCAAAGAGAATATTAAAAAATCAACACGTATTACAAAGATATCCTATGCCTATGTTATGATAATGAAGTACGGTCATAATAGATATCGGACAGTTTAATTACCTTAGATCTTCACTATGCACCAGTTTGCGACTCCCTCTAATTGCATATCTCTCTTCTGGTATCTCATACAGGAGATTACTGTCCCAAGGGACAACCAGATTCCATTTCCTGACAGACGCAAACAAAACCTGGCACATCCTTGTAACAGGACTTCCCCCTGGCTTCTGAAACCTGTAGAGAGGCGTGCCTATGAAGAAGCATACAATAGAAAATCCTATACACAAAGCAGGGATGCCAAATCCAAGACCCCATCCTGCATTGTCTTGAATCCACACAATTAAGCTGCATGACACAATGGCACCTAGGTAGATAGAAAAATAATACCAATTGAAAAACGACCCCCTCTTAATCCTTTCCTTCGGATCAGTATCATCAAATTGATCTGCCCCAAAAGATGGCACACACGCTTTCACACCACCAGTCCCAAGCGCAATCACGTACAGACCAAAGTAGAACACAGCATATTGTACAGGAGTAGCTGAAGGGCATACAGAACCCAAACATTCAGCAGGCTTCAAGGATGGTAAAGATGCAGAAAGTGTCAAAGTACACATCCCCTGCACACAGCAGTCATATCACTATTAGAGCATGAAAATACAACTTTACAACAAAGCATATATGTAATCAAATAAGTGTTTAATTTTGACAACCAATTAAAATTCATTTTTGGTATCTCATCTCAACATCATATATGACAGTAATTAAACTCATGAATTAAATAAATAACTGATCCAAAAGAGAGATGTGTATGAAAAAAGACATTTTTGACTAGGAAAATAGGACTATCTAATCTTAGTTTATTACAATGAAATAAATCAAAGAGAAAACAGCAATTGTCCAGTATCGACCCCAGTAACCATCAGCTAGAACAGCTCCAACGAGAGGTGTAAGATAACAAGTGCCTTGCCAGATGCTGATATTTCTCGCAGCAGAAACGTTTCCTTGATGCATTTTGGTGGTAAGATAGGTAACAAGATTTGTTGTAATTCCGAAGAAGGCCAAACGTTCACAACACTCATTGCCTGAGAATTCATGTACATACAACTGATATAAACAAAAAAATTACTATTTAATAACATAAGAGAAATGTAAAAGTATACCTACCAAGGATAAAAGGACAAGCCCTCCAATTGCCAGTGTTCTTCTTAAGAACAGGCCTGCCACTTAAGTCAGCTGAGCCATCTCCTGTGTATTCTTCCCTCCTTTCGTCCTTCGAAGTTAAATAAACAATCACATATCATAGCAAAATACCATTTTTTTTTTCTTTAATTGAAATACCTGGGTCAAACCATGCTATTAAGTGTGGTGTTGTGTTATGGCAGTGCTTGTATAACGTAATTAGTTTGAAAAAAAAAAAAAACATTTGAGATAAGGGTATGTATGGAGAAAGAAAGATAGAGTAAAGGAGAGAACCTGAGGAAGACCCTCTTTTTCCAGAAGCGGTGTGTCATCAATGGTAGAACCCATGTCTTTGGTTAGAAGTCTCTTCTTCCTTGCAATCAGAAATAAAGGACATTCAGAATAAGATACTTGTACAACTCTCTTTCTTATATTTCGTCTACAATTCCTATTTCATTGATGTTTTTGAAACTCGGATAAGGATGAATACATGAATTTCGAATTTAAAAGTTTAATTATATTTAATCAAATTTAATAAAATAATTATTTTTATATAATAATATAAATATTGATTAATAATAAAAAAATTATATAAAAAAATTATACTAATTATAATAAAGATTATTATCTCTATAATTTTAAATAATAATAATAATAAATATATAATATAATAAAAAAATTAATAATTGTTAAAATAATAAAAATATACTAAATAAATATTATTATTTTTTTATAATTATTTTTTAAAATAATAAAAAAAGTTTGATTTTATATGTTTTTTAATAAAACTGGTTTGAAAAAAAACAACAACTATTTTTTATAATTTTATCAATATTTAATTAAAATTTGATTATTTAAAAAAAACAATTTTTGAATTAAATTATCGAATAAATTGATTGAACTAAATTTCAAAAGAATAATTTTGGTAATATAATATAATAAATATAAAATATATTTATTTATCATTAATAATATTATTATAATATTAAAGTAAATAATAAATATAATTTTTTATTATTATAATATCAAAATAAGTTTTGAATAAATATTTAATTTGGACTTTTTGTAAAAATAATTTTGTTCTTATTATAATACTTATATACGTATAAGAATTTAATTAAATATTATAATAATATTTATATTTTTAATTTAATTTTTATACGGTAAAGAATATTATGTTATTATTTAATTAAAAATTATTTTCTATAATTTAAAAATATAAAAATCAATCATTTTAAATAAAATATAAAAAATTTACACTATTAATATACTATAATAAAATAAGATGTTTATGTTTACGTGGTGGTTTAATTATAAATTGTTTTAGACTATTTGTTTATTTATATAATAATTATTTAATAGTTGTGTTGACGTCGGTCTTATCAGTATCTGAATATACTTCACTTAAAAGCATCATCGTAGAAATAATGATGACAAAATATACAGTGGTCTAACCTTTTTGGTTGGTTATTCAGTAGACATTAATTATTATCTGGTGACTTTAGGTGAACTAATTCAAATGTAATCATTCCAAGTTTCCTTCTTTGGTTTCACCCAAATTAATTAATACTAATCAATATAGATTTTGTTTGGTAAGCGGAATATATTATCCTCTTTTAATTATTTAGTGATATTTTAAAGATAAAATCGTGACAACCAAACATTTTAATATAAATAATACTTTAAATATAGGAATTAATCCTAAAGATGTTATCATAGTAAATATGAGGTTGAAGTACTCTTCTTAGACAAAATAATATAGAATATCGTTTCACTCGTATATACTCTTTAGTCCTTGATGGAAGGGTTTATGTTTCGGTATGTTTATGAGTCTCATATCGCTTAAGAGTTGAGGTTAAGGATAGTTTAAATACATCATCTTCTCTCAACCCATAGAGACGTCATTTAAGGACAAAACCGTGACGGACGAGAGCTCCAAAGTGGATAATATCTTGAACGTGGAAATTGACCTGAACGATGTTATCATAACAAACATGAGAGTCTTGTTCCACTCATACATATCTCACGAAACATATTTCAATAACTCGGAAACTTTCAAATCAACTTATGATTGTGATAAACCTTTAGTTGCATAGGTTTTCAAAATTTAATTTCCCCAAAAATGTAAGAAGAGGTAAACTAAGTATCAATCCAACGAGTGAAATTGCAAATTATTCTTTTAATGATGTGTAATTTGAATGAAAAACAAAACTAAGTAAATTGTGGGGATTTTGAGTTACAAAAGTAAACAAAATTAAAAGTAAACAAAATTAAAAGTAAACAATTAAAAGGAATTTTAAACTAGTAAACTAAAATATGTCAAATTACTTTGTATGAAAATTAGTAAAAACTTTATATGGAACAAAACACTAAATGGTAAAATCAAATTGGTAAAAAAAATGCTAAAGATACTAAAAACAAATCAAGAACCAGAACAAAAAAATTATTAGAATTAAAAAAAAAAAAACTAGTTACGGATTTTGTGACAGATTTAACTAGAAAATTTTGTATGTTGTAAATCTAATGGAAACTAAACTAATCAATTATCAAAGTTTGAAACCAAATTGATTAAACACACAATTGGAATTGGAAAATGATTAATGTTGAAACTACAACAAAACTCTAGAAAACCGAATTAAAACATAAAGAATGAAGAAGAAATAAACCTATAATTCGAAACAACATTAAAAATTAGACTAGATTTCTAAACTATACTAAACTAGTGCATGTAACATGTTTGTAAAATTTTTTAGAAATTAAAACAGCTAAAATAGTTTGGAATTAACAAAAACAGAATCAAATCATGTTAGAATTAAATCTGGACATAAAATACAATAAGAACAAATTGGAACAATTGAAGAATTCAAATGGACAAAAACTTGAAACTACTCATAACCAAATGCAAAGATTAATTGGAAACAAACTTCTAATTGTTTGAAAAACTTAAAAACCTATTAACTAATGTTTAGCACATCTAAATTGTGCAAAAACAGCAAGGGGTTATCAAGAACAAGTTCTACAAAATCAAAGACAAAAATTCAATCAAATGTAAAAGCTATTCCTAAATTGAAAAATACTCCTAAATTGCTATGAACAAATCAAACATAAAATACTCCTAAAATTAATTTTAACCAATTGAATTCTAAAAAAAATTAAAAGAACTTGAAACAACATCTAAGAACAACATTCTAACTAATCAAATTGGAGAAATTAAGCCAAAACAACAAAACCAACATTAAAATGGTAAAATAACGTCAAAACAACAAGAACAGTAAAACAACACATGAAAACTTTGTGAAATTAACTAATGATCCGTGATTCTTCTCCTTAATAAATAAGGAACCAATTAAGGTTTGAAAAAAAAACAAGAATCACGCTCAAATCACTGCCAAAACATTGTAAAAATCGAAAAACAATGAAGAAGAATAAAGTTGGAAACAACATTGTGAACAAACTATGATTATGTGATTAATTGAAGTAGAAATTCGTGTAGAACATATGTAAAATCGAATTTAATTAAAAGAACAACTAAAGTAAAGCAAGAAGAACACTAAAAAAAGTAGAAAAAGTGGAAACTAAAGAGACAAAAAGGAAACTAAACTAAAAATTAAAGAGAGAACAAGAGAAAGAACTAGAATTGAGAGAACTTGAACTAGCTTCACATCAATTGAAAAATAGAATTCGATGTATGTTACAATGACACAAAAATGCCTTATTTATAGGTTCAAATGTGAGTTAACTAGAGTTAAAACTAACTAAACCATGATTAAAACTAATTACAAGTGTGTCATAAATCTAACTATAGTTAATTTTTGTATCACTTCGCAACAAGATCTTTAATTTTGCACCACCATCTTCTCTGATTTATTAAAATAGCTCCAGAGCCCCAAAAATAGTCAAATTTGTGTTCCAATTAAAGCTTAAGATATTTTGTTTCCAATGCAAAAAAGAATCAGCCCAATCGAATTTTTTAGAAAAAGATACAAATCGAGAGAAGAGACAAAGGTCAAAACTGGTCAATGAAGAAATTGAAAGTAATACTGAAAGCTATGTTAAAATACAAAAATTAGTATCTTTTTGTGATTTTGCACATTTTCCCCTAAAAATACAAATCTAATCTAATATAATAGAATAAGAACCTAAAATAATATAATTCTACTTTATTAACTAGGAAAAATACTAACAAATGAGTTGTCATCACACTCCCACACTTAAGCTATTTTGTACTCTTTGACAAAAGAAAAGAAGAAAAAAAAAACGCTTAAAGAAAAATGGAAAACATTTATTTACAACTTTTAGAAAACAAAGTCCATATCTAATGACAAATAAATCAAGAGTAGTAGTAAATCTTCATTAATAAGAATTTTAAGACTAAAAAAACTAATCAAAATTATGTGCAAAAGTAAAATCTAAGAGAAATTCAATCAATTCAAAAAGTGAAACAAAATTTTGGTAACCTCACATGAACTGTATAACTCATTCTCTCAAGTGTTTGGGGTTAGTGTTTTCTCCCTGCACATAGTGGAAAATAGACAAATTCATAAAACTTGTAAATCTTCTAATTTCTACCACTGAAAATAAATGCAACTCAAGTTCAAAAGGACTTTTATTCGACTTGTAATGTGGCTAAGGTAAAAAGGTAGGATAATGAAAGGATGCAAGGCTTAAAAAACCAAAAAGAAATGAGAAACAATGGGGAAGTGGATTAAGCAAGAGTAGTGGTGTTTCCTTTTTAGAACTTTCACCCAACAATTTTTTTCAACTTTTCTATTTGTTTACTTTTTTATCCTTTTATTTTTTTTATGTTTATATATATTTATTTTTTTATTTTTGGGGCTTTTATAATTTTAAGAAAACAACCCCCACACTTAAAATTTTCTCCCCTTCCCAAAAAAATTCCAAAATTCCTCATTCTCATGGTTAGGTGATAAATGGTTTTTCTAGTATTTATGACTTGTAATATTGGTAAAAAAAAAAAAAGAAAGGGGTTAATAAGCTCAAATATGGGTGCAATGGAACAATGATTAAGGGTGAGACTTTATTTGGCTAGTGGCTAAAAATAAAAAAATGACCTAAATCATATCAAGAGTGCAATTAAATCCAGTGGTGCCAAAAATAATTAGAACAAGTTCAGAAATGCCTGTAATCACTAGTGAATTCACACATCAAGGAAAATTGGCCCAAAACTCACAAGGTTAATATTTGTCACCAACTATTGAATCAAAATCCAAATGTCATGAAAAACTACCTAGATTCTAACAAGTACAAAAATTTCAATTAGCTTTAAAGACTCTAAACTATGATTAATGCATCAAAACACAACTAAAAAATTTGATTATTCACTAGGA